TTATAATCATTATATATATATATATATATATTTATAATCATTATATTTTTTTTTGTTTTTATTTATCTTCCTATTCATATGAAATATTGATAAGTATCATATTCTAATAAAACCAAAGACTTTCTAGCCTAGCCGAACCAAGTGGTGCCATTCATTTCTTGAGGTCGGGGGTTCAAGTCCGGTCATGGTTATAGATAGAATTAAGTGTTAGTTTAAGAGTAAATTATATATTTTTATTTTTCGGTTTATAAAAAAAATCATATTCTAATAAAATTTAATAGTATTTTAAATGCTTATCTCTAGTTTATATAAATAGCAACAAAGATAGCAAGAAAATTAGAAGGATATTAATTTATATATTATTATCCATTGGTTAACCGAATGCATGTTCAGATAAACCATCAACCTGCCGTCATCCTCTCTCTATAAAAGTATAAACACCACCAGCCAAAACCTTTTCAAACAAAATCAAGAGAGTATTTCACCATAAAAATGGATCAATATAGTTACTCCTCTTCTTCATCTTTGTCTTCTTCCTCTGGACAACAACAATATGCACAGAAGACAATCAAATCAAGCCGACCACTGTACCATAACTCCCTCCATTCTGTCCGTAAGTCCCTTCAAAAACCCATCACCAAGCATTTTATCGCCCCATTGCAACCCACCCCACCTAAAGTTTACGATGTCGATGTCTCCAGTTTTAAGGAAGTCGTTCGTGTTCTCACTTGCAGCCCGGAATTCCAACAACCCTCTCCACGACGTCTAAAAGACATGGCTCCGCCAGCCCTTATTATATCAACAATCCCAAAGCCATCGTTATTTCCCAAACCATCACTGCTGCCCCAATCTGAAGAAGGAGGAGCATTAAACAAGCTTCCAACTTTCATAATGTCGCCGGGTTTCTGCAAATACTTGAATGAAACATTGGATACAACTCGGTTTATATCAGAGTCACCTGAGATGATAGATTGTTTCGGGGGTTTGAGTCAGGCGGGCTTAGATTTTTCAATGATGGCTAGTCCTAATGATCTACCCGAGAGTACACTCATCAGCCCATTGGATTTGAGTTTGTCACCAACTTCACTCTCTTGGTGTTCTTCACTTATTCTGAGCCCTCTATAGCTTCATTCATGGTGTTTTCCTATTGTGATCATACAAATATTTTCAATTTTATTTTTATTTTTGGATTAATCATACCGCATTATTGTGATAAAAGAATTATTGTTAATAATCAAATTATTGTTGAAAAGATGGCTTCTTCAAACAAATACAGGAGACAAAAAACAACAATAAATGGATCGTGCTTTAAATAAACAACACACTGGGCCCCATACACACATAAAACTACTATTTCGTTCATTAACTTAAATGGCAAACCTCCATGAATGCAAAAAAGATGTAGTATTTGTGTATCTTGTATGTCATCTCCAATCTTAGTTTAATATTAGTTTAATAGGCAGTTTAATCCCATTAAACTCAAAATATTATGGTTAATAACATGCATTACTAGAAAAAAAGGGGTTTTCCTATAGAAAATAGCTACGGAAAGTTTCCGTAGCTAATTAACTACGTAATTCCTACGGGCTACCTACGGAATGAGATATCGTAAGTTAGTAACGGAATAGCTATGGAATAGTGACGGAAACGAATCCGTAGCTATTCCATCGGTAAATAGCTACGGAATAGCAACGGACTACCAAGTACCAACGAAAGAGAATGGCTACATAATAGCTACGGAATACCGACGGATTTATTATTATTATTATTATTATTATTATTATTATTATTATTATTCTTTAATCTAGTCTTAAAACTTTTTTTTATCATTTTTTTACATATTTAAGACACGAACAATTAAAAAATCATACTAATAGTACTACTAATAATCATATTTATAAACATAATGATAATATATAATGATTGTAACGAATGTGTTTAACACACAAACAAACGATTAAACGAAAAAAAAAACTACGTTTAACACATCAATAAGGCGAAATAATGTATGTATGTATGTATGTTTATATATGTGTATGTACGTGTATGTTTGTATCAGTGTGCATATGTATATGTATGTCTGTATGGGTATGTGTATGTATGTATTTGAATGTGTATGTGTATGTATGTATGTATGTATGTATGTATGTATGTATGTAT